AACCTAGATTGGCCCCATGTCACGTGGTATCGTTTGACATATTGAACCCTCTAAGGGTGGAAATGCACGGAGTGGTTGAGTCATTGCTTTTCCTCTGAACCAGCGTCAAGTCATTGTTTTAGGGTTCGGGCCAAAAGAAAAGAAAAGAAAGATAGTCTTGAAGAGATCATGGGAGAACCTTAGGTCAAAGACAGTGACAAGCTACTAAAGGATTGCCCGTGCAACTATGATGTTATTATTAGGGTGACTCGAGGTTCCTAATGACAATGACCAGCTGGCTTATCAAGACCATCGCTTGTATGAACATCAAGAACCTCGTGCAAAACAATTATTTATAGATATTCTTTCAGAAGAATATAGTAAACATCCATCGCAAAAGCACGTCACGTGAAGTTTGGGCTTCGCGGATAAAAATCCAGAACGCGTGCATTTTCTCCTTCACATCTCTTCAGTAATCGGGGCGGTACCGGGCACTGGACACTCCGGCGAAAGAAGGGAAGAATGAAGATCGTTCGTTTATATTGCCTGTGAAATGCATCCTGACTGCCCTCAAACATATAAGCCTATGCGAGGCGATTCGGCGACGGAACAAGTTGAATTCACTCCCAGATCGCAAATTGAGAGGATCTAGATGCGGCAAAGTGAGTACAAATTTACAGGATCGTGTTAAGGATTGTCACTGAGACAAAATAAGAGAAGCAGTTTGACGTAGACCCAAGAAGTGGGTCAACAATCTCCATTTCCTCATTCAACCAATAGCTGGTGCCAGAGGCCGGCCCCTACAATGGCAGAGAGAGAGCCACTTGGAAAAAAAATTAATTTAAAAATTAAAACATTAAAATTTCGGGTCCTACGGTGTTGACCCGACCCGGTCCCACGAGATATATTTCCGGAAAGAAAAATGGTGGAGCCAAAATAAGGCTTGAAGTTAGCGCTGTATATAGAGATTTTTTTTCATGACAGTGCAAGTTTTTCCATCTTACCATACTCTGCATTTGGTCGCGAGGACAAGGAATATTGCAATTCGCGATGCTTTACACTTGATTACGATGAAATGTAGATACAGTATCGTACTGTGATAAGAAATCTCGAGAATATGGTACATTTACTGTGTCGGTTTTGCTCTTTTCTGGTTATTTTCATTAATTTATTCCCCTTTGATTTTCCTCAGGAGACAGAACTCGCTTCCTAGTTTTTCAATGCAAGACAGCAAATGATTTCTATTCGTTTCCCGAGCCACAATAATGCTCGGGGAAAGAAAAGAAACAAAAAAAAAGAGAGAGGAAGAAGATGGACCAGAAGTTATCGTGGGGAGTTGGAGTACTACACTGAGAACAACAGCAGTTGAGCAAGGCCACAGCACATGCATGCATTACGTGCAGTAGCTGCGTTTTATGCAGACATCTCTCTCTCTACTGCCACTTCTGCTACTGCTGCTGCATAGATTAAGGTCTATAAAAATTGAGGATCATGCAGTAACATTGGTGAAAAACCAAAGTCAGCAGCCAGATGGGTGGAAGATGCTCAGGGTAGGTGCCAGCAGATGCTTGGATTTTGATTTTCAGAACATTGAAGCTGGTGGGGTTATGGAAAACAGCTGAGTCAGAGACACGGTTCATCTTTTCCAGACTCTACCAACATTTCTCTCTCACAAAAGCGAAAAAAGAAAAAAAGAAAGAAGGGGAAATGATCTTATTGTCAGTCCCTTTGTTTCTGAATCTAGCTGTCCAGGTTCCTCTGTTCTGTTGCAATCATATGGGGAATTGGTACACTAGCGTAAACTCAGAAAGTGAAAATTCATTCAATCCTTCAAAGGCTTTGTGGTCCTGAGCTGCTGAGCATGTGGCTTAGGCAGATCTCCTCAGCGTCTATCAATTCACCGCCACACGCTAACTCCCACAGTATCAGTTTGGACTCCAAACCCATTTAGCCTCACATGCTTGCATTGCATGATGGGATGATTCGTTTGGACTCCCACAGTATCCTACAAGCTAACTGAGAAAAAATTTATCGTGCTTAGATTCATCTACATGTGTCAGAATCTAAGCACAAAAGTTCCTCTGACTAGTGCCCTGACGAGAAAAGAGTTGACCGGTCAAGCTTCCAGGTAAATCAGGGTCGAAGTCTTCCAAACTCAAAAAAGTCCAACGCACCAGGTAGGGGACCATGACCAGAACTTAGATGTAGCAACTAAAAGTGGAGATGATACCATGCTGTAAATTGCATACGAGACAAGTAAAACGAGCAGTCACTTACTCCCAACCCTACTTACCCAAAAACAATGACCGTCCTTCCTATTTGTGATGAATTTCCAGAATATAGCTACGATCCACGATTTGTTCGGCACTGGTTCAAGTAAATGGCATAGCATAATTACTGAGCTAACTTGTTTACAGACCTCTAGAACAACGTGTACCCCAGGATACAATAATCCATGGCGTTCAGCATAATGTAAAGCATTTACTCTTAGCTCTGTGGATGGTGGACATCTATGGCCCAGTCAAACCACGAGATTACCAGCACATGAGCAAATAGAGTTTGTGCGAAACAGTGTAACATTCTCAAACTCCCTCTCTTTCTCCCAAGCTCCTTCACATGCGCTAAAGCGGGCCTTCTAGGATTCGAAAACTATGACCAACTCAAGCAAAGAAAAGCTGGCGTTTGCATATGCAGGCTGTCCCACCACTTTGACAAGCTTCCTCAGCCAAAAAATGAACCTACTCATTGTCCAAGAGCCACTTTTTATCAACAAAAGTTTGGGGACCATCCCTTAGAACATAGAGCGAATAAGAACCAATTTGTGTCCAGGACCCCCACGATAAGTGGATACCCCTAAGTAGCTAGATGATTGAATTTGACTAATGCTGGTCACAATCGTCAAAGAGAACCCTAAGCTTTTGTAAGGAAACATGTTCAAAGTTCAAAAACCTCTTATCTCCTTATGAGCATCATAGTTGGAACAATTCATGGGAAAGGTAATGATAAGATGGACGCCCGCGCTTTAGCTAGAAGATATTCCAGTCGCCTCCATCCACCGAACCTGAATAATGCCCGAATAATGATTAAGCCTAGCATTGTATGTACTGTTCTGGGCTTTAGGTGTTAGCTACCCAATAGGTCAATCTCACAAACAGAGGGACTAAAGTCCCTTTTCCTTGGTATGGCTCACATTTTTAATCATTCGTTTCTAGAATGGTTGCAGCAAACAAATAATTGCAAGCAACAATATAGCAAGTTTGTCATGTCCTTTTGACTCCAACAGCCAGCAATCAATCAATGAGCTCCAACTACAATTAATCTGATGAATCAAATCATTTGATTTGAAGACGTTAGGTAAGTTACCACGTTAACAGCTACATGATTAAAGACTCCGTTGCTCCAGAAGATGGACTTGACAAAGCTTCACTTTAACATCAAAGATACATTGAGTGCAGACGACAGCACGCTTAGTATTCAACTCTGCAGTTTCTTCCGACAACCAACAAAAGCAAAAAAACCAAATTCTCTGCAATTTATTCCATACATTGTCTTCCCTATAATAATGGGTTGATTCTGTGTTCAACTAAGCAGTTATTCCATAATCCTGAAATGATTTCATGAAATGAATAATCATCTGCAATTGGTGTAATAAAAAGAACCTTTCCAGATGAGTTCAAGCAGTGAATAGGTGTAGAATTTAGGTCAAGGGAGCGAGAAAAGTTGAGTGGAGCAAGTTGAAAAGTTTCTGTAGATCTCCTTCAAAATCTTGTACACAAAATAAATTCACAATATAGATTCTAGCGCAGGTCTAGCGACCATGAGAGCAGCGGCTGGTCCACCAATGACTACAAGTTTTCCGCTAGTATAGACAATTTACACATAATTTAGCATTCAAAGGTTGCAGATTATTTAACGAAAACAGTAATGTTTTAGCATGAGGATCAAAGGAGCTGTAGGTAACGAGGCTGCTGGCTAATAAATATTCTACCAGCCAAGAGTCAAAAGGCCACCGTCATAACATCACCTGCGTGCTCTGTTTTTAAACACGCTATTTGCCACTTACAAGATCCTATTCTTTTTTTTTTTTACTTTTTGACACTTAAATTCACAACCACAGTAAGGACGGAGGATCAATTCAGACCTCAAAGGCAAAAATTTCAAAAAGTCTTTTGAGTTTACGTTGTAGTTGTTTACTGTTAAGCAGCTGGAAGTTAGTCGTTTTATAACTGTCCTTACGGGGGCACTTTTACTAAAGAAATATGGGATAATGACACAAACAGTCCCTGAACTTTGTCTAATGTGCAATTTAGTCCCTAAACTTTTAATTTGTTCAATGTAATCCCTGAACTTTAGCATAATGTTCAATTTGATCCATAAACTTTTAATCTGTTCAATGTGGTCTTTAGACTTTTAGTACATGTTCAATTTAGTCCATGAACTATTTAAAAATGTTCAATGTAGCACCTGCACTTAAATTGATAGAATGACTATATTGAACATTTTCAAATAGTTCAAGGACTAAATTGAACATATACTAAAAATTCAGGAATCACATTGAATAAATTAAAAATTCATGGATCAAATTGAACATTAGGCTAAAGTTCAGGGATTACATTGAACAAATTAAAAACTTAGAGACTAAATTATATACTGTATCAAAATTCAAGGACTGTTTGTGCTATTTTGCCAAGAAATATCCGAAGGACAAACAAGAAACGTGCCATGATTCTGTACCTTTCCCTTTAAAGAACGCTTTTCATATTCGCCTCGCTCAAAAGCCAAAAGCTAAGGAAGAGCAGCTTTTCTTTTTCTCGAGTAGCTTTCGTCTACCTAGGATGTCAGCTAGTACTAGGTATTAAAGCCAGAGATGGAAGAGAAGAATCAAAAGGAGCCCTCCACTACATGGGCTCAAACACCAATGGGCCAAACTGAAATTCAGCCGAAAGCTCCAGAATAAGAGGAATCTAATTCATGCACAAATCGAAACCACTCGAATGCAGAGGATAACAACAGAGCAAGAGTAGCTACTGCGTCTAAATTATATAAATCGAATACAAAATGTACGACGACTGGATGCCTTTCATGATGTTGTCCAATATTTACAGACCCCACGGGTAGCGCAATTTACAAGAATATTAAGGGAAGACACTCCCTCTCAAAGTCATCTGACATCTTTGTGACACGTAAAGAAAATATGTCGAAGAACTCACATTCTGACTCGCGAAGAAGTAAATAAACTAAGGTCCAAAGATTCGTAAGACAAGTAAGATCAGCCTAAGCTCATGTTGGTACGCACCTCTCAGTATGTATTTGCATCCTGAGAGTAAATAAACTCTAGCAACTGATATAATGTTTCGCCACAATGACAGCTCAAGATGGCAATTTTTTCTTGCAAAAGAGCTGAAGATGGCACTCAAAGACTGTAAATATGATTCTACCCCTTAGCATGGACTGATAAATTTGCTTGTATATAAAACAGATGGAGACTCGTGCAGCTTGTGCAGGAATCCATTTGTAAAGAGCTAACATTGCCCTGCAAATCAACCCGGTTAACTGCAACTTGCCTGCTGCCAACTATCTGCTTGGCAGTACATCAATGTGTATTGTCATCCAAGACTCCGTCCAACCATTGACTACCTCTTCGCTCCACAGACTTGGATCAACATTTAACTAAGAGATGGGACTACCGAGAGTGCAGTAAGCGAGTCTAAGAGACCACAATCACCATCAACCTAGTTTATCCACCAGTGACTTATCTCATGATCACCTTTCACTGGAAATTCTAAATTCACCTTCAACCATTCTAGGTGAATGATTAAAAACTACAAGAGCTTCATGACTACTTCGCAACCACCATGAGGCCCACTCTTCACCAATCATCGCCTTCAATCAATGAATCCAAAACATGTATTGATAAAATGAGATGTTGATAGAGAGATTTCAAACAAAAATTAGGAAATCAGACATGACAGCTTCACATGCCAAGCTGTGAAACTTCACAACATGCTCCCATGCATGCAGGGATCAAAGGAACAAGGAAAAATTACTTCTAAGACCAAGATCTTTTGGAAGAGAACTTCAACCGGTAGGTGCAAAGACTGCCCTTCCAATTGTTGACAAACTGCCTTCAAGGGGCTTGCACAAAATTCAATTCACTGGAAGAACATAAGCAAAACTTATGCCGGGAGACCCATCGTTTCTCAAGTGTTGCAATTGGGCGACATACCAATAATCCAAAGATTGCCATGCTGCAGCCTGGTAAGCAGGAAATTCATGTCCTTAAAACTCAGCATAGCCAGCCTGTTAGCATGACGAATTCGTATAAGAGGGGCCAACCGATGCCAGTACTACATGGTCGGTAATGTGCGCCTCATCCCGCATAATCCTAAGTGACTACTAGATAAATCTATTTATCCATAGTTCAACATCCCACCTGTACTACTTTACAGTATTCCCTTAAAACTCAACTAAAAACCGGCTTACTATGGAACAAGCTCTCCGCAACACACCGACACACATAGCTCAAGTCCAATGTGAGGTTGTTGTTATCCACCAAATAAGTGCAACATTCTTGCGGTAGAACATCATTCATGGAAAATGACAGGCTCTAATGACATACAAATTTCGCAACTTTTCGCATTGGAGTGATCTTATCATCAGTAGATTACAGTAATTTCTCTCTCTCTCTCTCTCACTCACCTATCTATCAATCATAGTTAACAAAAGATCAGATGATATGAAAACTTCTTACCTCAAAACACTACAACCTCAGGTAACGATGCGCAAGCCAACCTTCGATCACACCCAAGCACGCTCCGGCCAACACGTCGCACACGTAATGCCGTCCGAGCAAGACTCTAGAATTCGCCGTCGCCGCCGCCCAAGCAGAAGCGACCAAAACCACGAGCTCCACAAACTTCCGCTCGCTGCCGTCGGCAATCCACCGATCCACGAATCCGCCGGACCTCGATTCGACGACGGCCCCTTCCATCGCGTCAGCCGAGAGGTAGACCAGCGCGGCGACGAAGAAAACCCTAGAGGCGTGTCCGCTGGGGAAGGAGTAGTGGTCGACGGAGACGGCGACGCTCATGTTCTTGTTGTAGACGGGGCGAGGGCGGCGGAAGAGGAGCTTGACGAGGCCGACGAGAGCCAGGTCGAGGAGGAGGCCGAGGATGAGCGGAGCGAGGAGAGGGCGGAGGGAGGGGATCGGGGAGAGGTAGAGGGAGAGGGAGACGGGGAAGAAGAGGCGGAAGTCGGCGGAGAGCTCGAGGAGGAGGAAGAGGGGGCGGGGGAGGAAGTTGTGGCGGTGGAGCAGCCGGGAGAGGGAGGCGTCGACGGCGGAGAGGCGGCGGAGGAGCGCCGGCGCCGGCGCCGCGGTGGTCGGGGTGGCGGGAGGAGGAGGGTCCATGGGGGGCGTCGGGCGACGGGTCGGGTTGGTAGTAGGATGTGGCAGCTTGTGATTGGATTCCGCAAATGCTGCTTTTCCGATCGAAACAGCATATATTGGGACGATTCTAATATTCGAATTTGGAAAAGAAAACAAAACGATTATAATATTGTTGATTTAAAAGAAGGGTTAATACACGAAAAATTCCAAACTTGTACACTTATGATAAATTTACCACAAATTAATTTTTTAATCACCAAAAATCCTAAACTGGTACACTTATGACAAATTTGCCAAAAACTAACTTTTTTATCACCAAAAACCCTAAACTGATACATTTGTGACAAATTTATCTTCCATTAAATAGGATTAATACCACGAAAATCACAAATTGGTAAATCTATGACAAACGGAAGGGTAAAACCCCAAACTGGTAAACCCGTCAACTGCCACGTGTCATTTAACTTAGCGATTTGAAGGTAAAATTTAACGGAAATTAAAGAAGGGTAAATCTGTCACAGGTGTACCGGTTTGAGATTTTTCGTGGTATTAACTCGTTAAAAAAATGAGTAGTTAATTATTGCTCAATTAACTTATCAGTAAATTAACCTATTTTTGTGAGAATTTATCAAATGTAAATTTGCTTTTCTGAAAATTACCCGCTCTCTAAAAAATTATCAATTTTTATTTATAGAACTTTATTGACATAAGAATTATTTACCGACTCTTACTAACTCTAAATGTTCGAAAATTACCAAATCTTACGTAAAGTTATTACGGTTCATTTGATTTTCTCGGAACGTGTGTTATATATCTCGAGAAAGAGTTGACAACCCGAAAAATAATTAGTAACTCACTTAAAATTAAGGTTAATAACGTGATATAATAGTCGGTAAGTTACGCCAACAGAAGTCAGCGAAGTTACATCGGCGAGCTATGCCAAAAGCTCAATCGTTTCGTCACATGTGTTAGGGGGGGCCCGTCCACAATCGAACGAAAATATTTAATAGAAAGGATGGTACCATCCGTAACGATGCGGTCCATTCGAAATTAGGTGATTTGTCACGATTCGTGTCCAACATTTTTATTGAGAAACGGGCCTAATCTCCAAAGTAATATAAAAGTTAAACCCTTCCAAATTTCATCTTATTATCAGTTGGGTTCGTGAAGGTTGGGCCCATGAAATGAGCAAGCCCAAGCTTGGATTTTTCTGGATCCGACGTGATTAGGGAATTCGGACCCGTTCAACATCATACTGATCGAGTCCCACGATGGATCTGGTCGTATGGAGCGATTCGTAAGTAAGCAGTCGCCTCTAAATGGTTATCTCATTGTCGGGTTGTTAAGAGTATTTCTTGCGAAGCCGGGCCCTGGAGAATCGAATGGGTCGAATCGTTATGGATGATGTCACGACGGAATTCTCTTCGGTGGATGTGCGGCCCGTGGACGAATTGTGCCCAGACCCGATAGACAAGGGCGGGGAATGATCGCTGGGGGCAAGAAGGCTCAGATAAAGTGTGGCTTTCGATAGGCTTCGAGGATTGTGGGGGGCATGAATGAATCAAACCAGATTTCTAATAAGGGAGTTTGTAACATCCCCGGAATTCAAAATAGGATGTAAAGAGGTCCTATTGAGTCGCTTGTAAACACACACCCGACGTTTAACTTGGATCATTATAGCTTGTCCTCCTAACGACATAATTTTGTAATATATATAGAAATTATGTAATTCATGATAGTAAAGATCAAGTCGGCCTAATTCACACATTAAACAACCGTCGTTGATAGTGACAGACAAAATTAACATTACGAATGCAATAGCCAACTTAATAAAGCATCAAGGTCGAGCTATTATCAATGTTGCGATCGTCGGATTTGCGAATAACTACTTTCCCATAAACTTCCCTAAAAGAAGTCCATCGAGCATAATGCGATATCCAGACATTTCTGCTTCGAGCTCCCAACATCTCTCATAGGTAGGATTTCAAACGAACGATAGAATCACCTCATCAAATTAAGTTGGCGGCTTCGCCGGTAATATCCGAATTAAAATTATCTTTTCTGGCGAGAAATCCCAATTAATTTTTTTTATAATCAGCATCGTTTACTTCCGCATTAGAAAATCGTCTCTGGCGAGATGGCGTCGTCAACACGTAGCCATTAATGGGGGTCCCCAACGGAACAAAGTAATTCAAATTAAAAATAAATTAATCGCAACGCATTTATGGAGGCGAGCAGAGGCAAGACCGATATCGCATTTAATTTATTTTTTTATTAATTTCTTTATATCGCATTTAAGTTAGTGGAATTCTTTAAATTCGCGCACTTAATATTCGATATTGGTCAACACACAAGCTAAGTTGAACTGCACAAGTTAGTCAGAGAAAGTTCGTCCGTATTTAATTTTCCCAATGCATAAGAAAAAGTAAAAAAAAGGGTGCCTAGATAAAAGCAAGGAAAATAAAAATAAAAAATAATTAATATCACGAAAAATCGAAAATTGATACACCCGTGATAAATTTATCTCAACTAAAAACCAAAAAATGGTACTGACAAATTTACTCCCGTTAAATTAGATTAATATCATGAAAAATCATAAATTGATAAATCTGTGACAAATAGAGAGGTGAAACTCTATATTGATATACCCGTCGACTGTCATGTGTCATCCAATTCAGCAATTTGATGATAAAATTTACGGAAATTAATGGAGGGTAAATTTGTCATAGGCGTACCAGTTTAGGATTTTTTATGGTCAAAAAATTAGTTTTGGATAAACTTATTATCGGTGTATCAATTTCGGATTTTTCATAATATTAACTTAAATAAAAAAAATCGAAAGGTACCCATACTGTGCCACTGGACAACGAGCCAGGTTGTTTCTTTTGACAGAAAAACTCACCTTCTTTTCAACACGCAAAAGGAGAAAATAAATTATTGATTTTTCCCAAGACCTAAGTTGTTTGTTTTATGAAAAAAATTAAATAAAATACAATAAAAATAAGAATAAAAATTTAAAATTTATAAATAAAAAAAAACACATGCTAATGCTCATTTTGTCACGGTCTTTTGTTTCGGCACGAAAAAGTTCAGACTCTAGTGGTGATAATGATAGCGTAGCATGCATGCATAAATTTTGAAGCAAGTTGAAGAATGCGAGAAATTCGTGATGATTATTAGGGTTAATCTTTCGTATTGAAGCGCGCAAAAGTTGGAACGTCGTTCCCGGAGAAAATCAAGACTGGGCAGGCGTGAAGAGCTAAAGGCAGGAAAAAAGCCCCAAATTAAGCAGCAATTCCAAGTCCAAAAGTCGCCAAAAGATTAACCACGTTTTTGAGTTATGTCTTATACCTCTTTGCACTATTTGTACGTGTGATAGGCCGAAGGAGTAACTTTAGAAGCTCGAGCATTTTTATGAGAAAATGGTGTGCTCGACATACAATTTCTAGAAACTAATCGGGAAAATTATCAAAAAAGTCATAAATCTTTTGCAGTTGTGCCAATTCAGTCCTAAACCTTTTGCAAACCAGCCAATTCAGTCCTTTTGGCCGGCCGGCGCTCACGTGGCCGCCGGCCGGCTGACGGGCCGCGGGGCGGCGTCCACGTGGTAATATTTTAAATATTTTTTTTATTATTTTCGATTTTTTTTCCTTTTTTCTTTTTTTTTTCTTTTCCTTCTCCCCCCTGGCCTGTCTGGCCAGGGGGGAGGCTCGCCGGCGAGGGCCTAGCTCCGGTGAGGCGGGGCCCGGCGGCGGCGAGGCGAGCCGGGCCCTCGTCGCCGGCCGGGCGAGGGCGGAGCTCGCCCGGCCAAGGCGAGCTCCGCCCGCGTAGCCGGGCGAGCTCCGCCCTCTCCCAGATCCGGCGAGGCGGAGCTCGCCTTGGCCGGGCGAGCTCCGCCTCGCCTAGCCATGGCGAGCTCCGCCTCGCGGATCCGGGCGAGGCGGAGCTCGCCCAACCAAGGCGAGCTTCGCCTCGCCGGAGTTGGGCGAGCTCCGCCTCGCCGAGATCGGGCGAGCTCCGCCCTCGCCGGAGCCGGGCGAGCTCGCCCGGCGGCGAGGGCGAGCTCGCCTCGCCAGAGCTGGGCCCTCGCCGGCGAGCCTCCCCCCTGGCCGGATAGGCCAGGGGGGAGAAGGAAAAGAAAAAAAAAGAAAAAAGGAAAAAAAATTCGAAAATAAAAAAAAAAAATATATTAAAATATTGCCACGTGGACGCCGGCCGGCGGCCACGTCAATGACTGAATTTGCTGGTTTGCAAAAGGTTTAGGACTGAATTGGCACAACTGCAAAAGGTTTAGGACTTTTTTTGTAATTTTCCCGAAACTAATCCCCATAGAATTCGTTTATCAAATATTAGCGAATCGATCGCTTTTTTAACTTTCGAACTTTAGGTTTCATCCGTGGAATTCATGCGTCGACGTTGTTCGCCCTTCTTACGAGCTATGTTATTCATATCGTTTTGGGTTATGAATGTGATTTGCCAGTACCGTTTTGATCTAAACACTTTGGTTTTGGTATCCTATCATAATCTACTGAATAAAGCAAAAAAAATTGACAGTACCACTTCCGCACGTCCGCTATTGTATTTCATGTACGTAGAAACCGAAGACAAAGTCATTGACAAAGTTTGCAAATCTCAAGGTTGTCGCCACCTCATGTTTTACTAGCTGTCGATTATTACGATGTCACGCACCAAACTTTTCAAAGTTTAATGAGACTGCCCCAGTCCTCGCTTCCGGCTGCTGCGGATGCGACTTCAATCTGTTTAATTAAGCGTTAAACAAAGAGATTAGGAAGAAAATCTGTCGTCTAATCTAATTCGAATTTCAGAGCTGCTTCTTTTATTTTAAGGATATGTTCTCCGCCAGCTTCCATTCTCTTCTTCCATTCTTCTATCCTATACTCATCTGTTTCAACCCAAACTTCCATACAAGATTCCTCCCACGATCTCCCTCTTTCCCTCGTATTTTTATCTGATTAATCATAAAGAATTCCTCTTCTTCTTTCCCTCAAATTCGTGTGTAATTACTGCTCACGAACTCGGGAATCTCCAAGTCCCCTGTTCGAGCATCTTTCGAAACCCTACTTCCATGACACGTTCCACTTCGAAGTGAAGATTTTCTTGACAAAACGAAAGCAGCCCAAGTTTTTTTCTCTCTCTGTTCTTTGTTCTTGTTTAGGGCTATGAGACTCTTTCATTTCTCTCTCTCGCGCGCGCCAATATCGATGTAAAAAGACAGTAATTGTTGCTTTGAGTCCAAGGAACGACAAGGGTCATGTGTCATTCATTCATACATGGGACAGAACGTGTGTTTATTAGAAAGCGACTTGACCCGGATTGGGTACTTGGCCAATAAATTCCCGAGTTCGATTCATCCAGAAAATAAGAAAAAAATAGAGATAAAGTATCGCCATTCTTGATGCCTTCGGCTCGATTGGAAGCTTTGAAAGCAACCTTTTTCATCACTGATATCAATCCTCCATTGATTCCGCGCACAATTGTCAGGAACCCTCATCAATGAGAGAAGCTGGGGAAGATTAAAAACTATTTGGGCAGATGGGTTTGATGGCAATGGAAGTACCCCACCCCACCAATAATAATACCCTCGAAAAATGTATAAAAAGGAAGAAAAGTATATAAATTAAGTTTGAAAGCTTGGAATATAAATAACATCCATCTAATGGTTGGTACTCAGTACCAATAATTTTTTGCTTCTTAGCAAAAGCTAGGGCAAAGCAAACTGTGGTATGTACTGTGCAGTGCTTATGCCGCATTATTGAAGGTTCTTGTTAGGCGACACTAGTAGCCTTGAAGACAGTTTGGTTTGCTTAGAGAAAGACAAAAAGAGGAGGAGAATAATCACCAGTACTAGATACCTTTTGACTGGACTGCATAGGAAAAACACAAAGCTGAGGACCAGAAACATGAAGAGAGAGACAGAGGAAGAGCTCTGTCCAAAAACTATATCTTTAAGCTCTTTAAGCGTCTGACCAAAAAGAAAAAAAGGGCTCTTTAAGCTAATAGTATACAGAACTTTTTCTCTCACTACCTTTAGGAGAGATCGCACGGAAAATAACTAAAATTACAGGGCAATAGACGAATCAACAATGCAGCCTATCATTGATGGACACGGGAGGGACTTAAGTGATGAAGGGGTCAAGGCAACAAACTTTTACAATATTTTTAACTCCAAGAGGCTAGATTTGGAAATTTCATGTGAAACATACAATACACTACTCGAAATCTCACGACAAACATCAAATAATTAGAGGTGGCATCATCGGCCCTATTAGCCTCGTTTGCATTTGTTGTGGCACTTTGATCAAGTGTAGAGGCCATGACGGTTCACCGAGAAAAGCAACCGTAAGTTCTCCCTGCCTAGCTTCATGATAATCTTTTCTCTAAATGAGCATGTTTTGCGCTTGCGGTCTCTCTGGGCCCTTTATTGCCAAGAAGGGACAAGGCAATTGGGAAAACAGATGGGAGTTTGGTGCTCTCTTCTTCTGGCCAAACTAGGCAATTTGGGCAAAATTGATCGAATGTCAAAATCTTTCAAGATATTCTGTAATGAAGGAGATGATGAATGCTTTCAAACTGCCAAATCTAAGTCCCTTTACTAGGGTCGAAGGGCTCTCTCTTTCGAGCAATAAAGATGCTGAAGTATTTGGTAGTGACCCATCGCAACCAAACAAAATACAAAAAGTGTCTTGTCAATGTTCAAACCCTAGTATGAAATCTTTGGAGACTAAATACCAAAAAAACTAAAGGAAATTCAGATCTCTCATCTGGAGACATAATTATGGAAATTTGTTTCCCCGAATAAATTAATTTTGTTCTGTAGCTTTCCTGTTTCCACTTCTGTCCCAATGAAAGGAAAGAGACAGAGCCCACGTGGGGTCGCCACCTGGAGGGTGTCCTCGTCTTTTCGCGTGCTTGCAAGTAGTGAAACGCCCCATCATTTAATATCGCGCCAATGTCTCTTCCCCTTCCTCCTCCTCTTCTTCTTCTTCTTCTCTAGACCGCCCGAGCTTCAGCTTCAACGCCAAAACGAAAAGCAGAATCATGAGAGGAACGAGATCATCACAAGAAAAGCGAGACCAATCTTAAGCTCTCTATAGAGACACAGAGAGAGAGAGAGAGAGAGAGAGAGAGAGAGAGAGAGAGAGAGAGCAAAGCTCAAGGTGTTCGTCAATCAATGGCGACGCGGTGGGTCAAGTCGTTGCAGTGCAAATCCAGAGCGTTCGAGGACGTTTATCACCACCCGAACCCGAAGAGCCTCCTCACGACGTCGGGTAGTTGCCGGAAGAGCGCACAAACCGTGAGAGACGTCGTCGAAATGGCCAGAGGAAAGCCCAAACAGAGAACACAGCAACCACCGCCCACCAAGACAAAGCAGCACTCCAAACCGTCCAAAAGGGACTCGGATCCGAACGACCCTTGTACCCGGAAAGTCGTTCCGGCCGCGACAGTCTCTCCCCGCTCTTCCAGGTCATTATACCCGCCCCTGACCGAGCTGCCGGAGGGCCACCCGTCGCGCAACGTCGTGGAGATCATCTTCCACACGAGCTGGAGCGAGAAGTCGGCGTTTCCCGGCCGGGTCGAGAAGATCTTCAAGGTCCAGACCGGGCCGAAGACGACGGCCCGGTTTGAGGAATATCGGGAGGCGGTCAAGTCCCGGGCCGGGTCCGGGTCCGGGTACGGGCAGGGCGTAGTTGGCGGGTGCTCGGAGGACAATGTCGCGCGGTGCGTCGCGGATGGCAACGAGGTCATGCGGTTCCGCTGCATGGGGCCCGCGTCGGCGGGCGGCGGCATCTCCTCGACCGACTTCTTGACGTTCTCCGGCGGCAAGGGGGCGGCGGTGTGCACGTTCTTCGCGGGCAGCGGGTCGGCCCACGAGAGGGCGGGCGGAGGGAAGGGGAGGAGGGCCATGCTGGTTTGCCGGGTCATTGCTGGCCGGGTGGCGAAGCAGCCCGGACCCGACCCGTTTTTCGAGGTCCGGGCCGGGTATGACTCGGTGAATGGGGACAAGGGCGAGTTGATAGTATTTGATCCTCGCGCGGTATTGCCTTGCTTCCTTATTATCTATAGATTGTAAAGGTATATGGGGAAAGAACTTTTGATTTTTCATTTGCTATTTAAGTTTTGTTTCTTCTTATTTCCTTGTGGGTCTCTTATGACTTTGGATTGATGAAGATGTGATTTTCTTTTTTTGGGGGGATGGTTAGTTTTCTTTTATGATGTAGAAAGCTGTCTGAATGTATGCTAAGTTGCTATATTTACGATTTTAATCTAATAGTTGGTGCCATATCACTATTAATCTGACGAGCATTTTAATTCATTTTTTGCGTGGTTAGTTCTTTTGATTATGTAGAAAACTATCTTAATGAATGCTAAGTTTGCTAATTAACCATTTCAATCTGATCACTGGTGTTCTAACAATACTAATTCAGGAGTACCGTAGTGTAGAATGTTTGAGTCTTGCAAGCGGGTCTCTCACCCTAAGCTTCAGAGAAGGAATGAGGATTAATTTCATATGTGGTTTGAACGTGGAGGAGATTGAGAAACTGTTTTTTTTTAAAGTATTAAAACCATAGAGTTAATCACTTTCAGCAGAGCACACTATCTCTCTTCTCTTCTTCAATCTGTTCAGTGTCGATCATTAAGATTGAATAAAGAAAGAGCACGCAGACGGATGCAGCTGAGAGCTAACATGAATGTACATTATCGTGCTGCAGTTGTTTATGTTTTTGGCCATCATCAAGCGCCGTGCATGGTCTGCCATTTAAGATCGCAGTGTGGACATTGCACTATAATCTATATCTATATTCTGTATGATAGTCTTGTTTAGTCATGGAATACTAAAGATTTGACTTTGACGTGCTCTTTTCTTTAATCTTCATCGTACGGTACATGATCATGCACGACATGCTATTTTCTTTTTTTTCTCTGTTTGATTTTCGGTGCCACAACTATGGTTTTTGACAGTACGTACATTCACTCATTCATTCTTCCGCACCAATGGCCAAATCAAATAGCAATGAGCAAACAAAGATCCCTTCGTCAAACTTATTAGGCAAGCAAGAGACTCGAGACTCAAACCCAAAACCGACGAGTTATACAGGGGCGAGTTTTCGTCACCAACCCGGAATACAGTCAATGAATCGTTCAAATGTCCCGATTTTGACCAGCCAAGGTCACTCATGAAAGAGCTTCTTAGGTTCGTCCCTCATGTGGTATGGTTGCATTTACAGTCGACCATTAATGAAGTAGAATGAGATCAGATCACACATGATGCAAAGAGAGTTAGGTCAAGCTGGTGAAGGAGGGTGGTAGTGATGCCTATTAGGTTAGGGGTCGCCAAGCCTTTTCTCAACTGCTCATACTTATTGCCCAAGTCTAAGTGCTCCGTAAGCCATGTGCTTTGTTTGGTCCATACTCTATCTTTACTTGGGAGGAATATGAAAAGAGAGGGCAAAAGCAGAGGGTATATGGTCACTTTCATTGCTCGATTTCCATCAGTTCCTTCACCATTCATTCTATATTGCTCTATCCCTAAGACCAGAGTGATCACGAGTGTGATCAAACTAATGCATGAGAAGGCATCTGTTCAGAACACCTGCTGAGAAACGCCATGCATGATTTAGTAGAGACATTTGAATGAACTTTCTCGAAATGTCTAGCGATGCGGATGCAATCTTCGGATTGCCGTCTCGAGACTTGACCGGGTTCTTTTTTCCATTCCACTTTTACACTAGAAAGCATGGAAAGAGAGAATGTGAATTGAATTTAAGGCTTCTTTGATTTGGCAAAGGATGAATCACCACCACCACAAGGTCAAAAGCCCTTGTCGTTCTTATACTTGAGAAAGTATAATTGAAAATTTCCTACCATCTTCTGCCAAAGTAGCCCTTTATGTAGTTCGAATTTTTAGCCTAACCTACCAGATGAATAGAGGGTTTTGAACCAGCAGACTTCAAAATTCTCTCCACCCAATCGAAACAGAGAAGAATGAACAGCATATTCCCGCCCAGAAGCTATCATGAATCCCTCTTAATGTACATTGTGGAGCGCTTTGCTGTCTTTGGAGCATCGTCCCCCAATCAATGGGACTCCACGAGTACATACAATGGTTTGCCATGCAACCTCTCACGTCCCTGAAACGTTCAATAAAGGGAAAAACAACACATAGTAATGGCCCAAGCCACATAGATGAAATGTTCTGTGTGAGAGAAGATAATACTACAATAGGATGCAAAGGAGTGGAATGAAATGACAATGGATGGAACAAACGAATATTATTATTAAATGGGCTTGATTGATTGAAGGAGAAAGTGAGTGTTATTATGATATACGCACCTTTAAATCCGGAAGTTCAATGACACATGCACATTCAACTACTTGAGCACCAACACGTTCTGAGGAACATAAGTTGGCATAAGTTCAGAGAGCGAAATAACAAAATATTTAAGTGGTATTCACTGAGAAAACTACACAAGGAGATGAAGCAAGACCTAGCTCAGAGAAGAATCAATTCCAAACAAAGAAAAACAAGAGATTGTGCCCAGGGGATAGCAGATTCACAAAACCATACACTGAGATACTAAATTTTAAGTTCATGATAATGATGATCAAGTTCAGGAGAGCGAAGGAAAGCTCTTTTCAGGTGAGGCACTCTGGCACAGACGGGAAGAAGCAAGGGGGTCATTTATCAGAGAAGATACATCGTTCACTTCCTTCGACAAACTAGCATTTTGGTACAGCAGTCCTAAAGCTGCTTCGCATCAACTGACTGTAGTTAGAATCTAACCAGTGAGCTGTATCACACATATCAGGCAGCTCCTATTGGGAAATAAATCTCAAACCACATTCCTCTTGCCTACTTCATATGCTACTTGTCAGAAGGTAAACTTATTGGTAGTCCATGTTCACAAAACCGTGCCCTAATGTCTGATCCGGCTGCTGAAGTTGCCACCACGAACACTAGAACTGGGTAATGGAGATAATAAAATTACTCTTCTTAAAGGCCATAAAGACCAGAGCTATTTACATAGATGCTAAGAGTTTCCCAAAACTGTCGCTAGCAATTCAGCTAGAGTGATGTGTAGGTGATTCACGAGATACTATTAGATGTCACGTATCAATTACTTTTGCTCAGGTACAAATTCATCAGCCTCTTCTTCTTTTTTTTAACTTCTTAAGTGTGAAATATTTGAGTTTCTAGTTCGATATTACACTATTCTACTATCAGTTTTTGTTTCAGTGCAAAGAAGACCTCCTTGCACAATAAAGAGCTCAGAAGTTTAGATATATAAATACAATTACATAAAACTGCAGTTTGTGTACCTCGGTATAAGAAATAGAAAGAACAAAAATGCAGTCATACGAGCACATGTTTAGGTTTGTTTATCATAAAGGGCAAGCATAATGTAGCAGGAAAACAAAAGAAATCTCTCTCTTTCTTTAGACTGGCGTAAATATTGTAGATGGAATCAAAATCCAAGCAAACTTTACAACACCTGAAGCTGCACATTCGTTGCATTAATAGCACTGCTACATTAGAAGTCCATTGAGCCCTTACCTAGTAAATTCATAGCCGCACAAAGAGTTCCGCCAGTGGCAATCAAATCGTCCACCACCAAAGCCCGATCACCAGGTTCCACAGCTCCGACATGCATCTGAAGACAATCTCTTCCGTATTCTAGGGTATACTCTTCTGAGATAACTTCCCCTGCGATGGAAGAAAGCTCTTAGTATCATGTGCCACATACTCCAGCATCAGTCTTCATCTAAAAGCGTCTATGTGAATGCATCTTGAGAAAGCCATCACCATGGAATTTTTTGATTTATCATGTCCAGAAAGAACCAAGATCAGATGGAGCATGCTAAATTCTGTCAATCGTGAGCACAACATGATAAAATAATTATTGGAAGATGGGAAGATTCAGTAACCTCACTTGAAGGCTGGAGGTACTGAACTTTTCTCGATGGACTTCAAGTATAAACGAAAACCAGATAGGGAAAAAAATTAGGTGAAAGCTACACAACAGCAATGCTAAATGAAATGCTGAAATGTAATACAATATCAACTGATGTTCTCCCATGTGACAGCCACATCGTTTATCGGTCATAGCCATGGCCCACAAAGTCATGCAAAAGGTACCAGAGAATGACAAAAACATCAATATCAAGGATATTCCAGTACAATATGTTAGATGTGGTAGGGAAGGGTAAACTGTAAGTATATCAAGATTAGGAGGCACCATTTCAGGGTGAAATTTGTGTATGATCACTCAGGAGGTACCAATTTTGGGAGATTTATAGAGCCTCCTTAGGGCGCAGTAACTAAGACATTACTGAGTAACTTGCCAAAGTATAAAGACTCTGACATTCGTCTAGGTGGTTGTTGCTAAACTAGCTCAACCTTAAGATGTCACAGTGGTTAAAGAAATCAATCATCACTAATGAGAGATAACATCACAAGGATTATCAACCATCTACCAAAAAAAAAGGACAGGCTTAGCTAAACAACGCGAGCATACTGGGGCAATAGGCGTGGCTCATCTCTCTGGCTATTACCATGAGAGTCATATTTAAAACTGCAGATTTGTCACCCCTTAGCACCATTTGAGACCCCTTGGCCAAGGTGGGCCAGCCCCGAGCACCATTCAAGACCCCTTGGTCCAAGGTGGGCCAGCCCCGTCTTCATAGCCCCACCAATGTGCAAGAGGTCCAGAACCCATTCACATAGAGAGAAATACGCACAACCACGGACTGCAGGCAAATTCAACCTCATGACCTCACGTTTGTGGAATATCAGCCCATAGCACTGAGCTAACACCACAAATTGTAAACCATGGAAACATCCCATAAGCAGATATACATCTTAAGGGACCAAAGAACTGATGAAGAAATTCAACTTGCATCATAGTATATGATGACCAGCACAAAAAAATATTTTGGCAAATGACAACATCTTCAGGTTCGGAATACAATGTACATGTTATTTATCAAAGCTTCTCATACTTAAGGCAAATTAAAATAATGACAAAGGAGGAGGAGATATAGCAAACAACAAATAGGACATGACAAGTGGGCGTGAAATACATAACAGAAAAGATCCATTAATGAACCCTCATCACTCGATGCATAAATGAGATGGAAGTATGAATGCAAGGAAATTACACTATGGTTGGATTAGAGTTACCAGGTAATTTCTTTGGCTTTCTCAGAGGTACAAACTTTGCTCCAATTGCCAATGCAATGGGAGGACCAAATATGAAACCTCGAGCCTCTATCCCTGGTAAAAGAATGTAGAAAATAGTTTCAGGGATTGGTCAACGTGACAAGTGTAGCGACTGCTACACGAAATACAGTAACAGTGCTTGCCAACCAAGATTCAGAGTAATCATACTAGAGAGTTACAGTGTTAGACAAATCCTTTCACAAAATTGACATCAAAATCCCTTTCAGATGTACACAGAATTGGTAGCAGAATTGGAATGCCTTTTTTATGGATAACAAAAATCATCAGTTTGAAAGCAAAGGCAAAAATTTTGAGCAGACGATTGAAGTTGAAAACCTTGTTGAGATATAGCATGCTGTAGCAATTTTTGCGCAGTCACTAAGCATACCCAAAAAGTTGGATTAAGATCCTGTTTAAGTTAAATTGAAATGTCAATTATTCATGATGAGGACAGATCACATCATCTCAAAGTGATCCAACGCTTGAAAGTCTCTCTCATGAAATTGCTTCTCAACCATAAATTCCGTCACATGCCATGATCTTACACGTCAATTGACAATCAATTACCACTTAAATGTAGAACAACCATATCCTAAAGGTCGATATCCTTGTCCCAAGAGTGATGCGCAAAGATTATATCATTTCAAAAACAACTAGCAGCAGCAGGCACCATAGTCCATGTTTTCACTAATCAACATAGAGATGCAAATGAAGCTAGCATGCGAGAAAAATCTGAGCATAGAAAAATCCAATCACTGTAAATTTCAGCATCCATAGATTTTTATTCTCTCCAAACTCTACAAAAATCTGACAAATTACTAAAAAGACATGGACATATCATCTACTCAATCCAAGCTCACATCAGCAGGGTCCACTTTACCAATGTGGGCATCCATTATCATCTACCAACCACATAATCAGGGATGCAAGCACATGCTCGCGCGCGCATACAGAGAGAGAGAGAGAGAGAGAGAGAGAGAGCAAATGTGAGCCGCTCAATAAACTTGATAGAGAGCAATAAGTAGCACACTCCACTAGCAATGGCCCATAGTCAAACCAAGAAATCACTGCCCAAAAAGCCAAGTAAAGAACAGAAGAAAACCACAGTCGCTTCCATTCCACAATCTTTCTCAAAAGCATTCACAAGATCGAAGACCTTACATACCCAAAAAAAAAAAAAAACAATAATAACATGCAATACTGAGCGAGAGATGTCCTCATTCTTCCTTAACCTACTTTCTTCTATGCATGGACCCCACCTAAGTCCTGAAAGCTAATCTACTAATCAATTTGAACCAAAGTTTGCTAAAAATTCCATGAAAAGATAAAGTTTTTTTAACACCCAAAAAGATTTTTCACCTCAATATTTTGCTTTTCAAGCCCCTTTTTACCTGCAACAACCGAAATGTTTTTGCCCTGGTATCTCTCAACGAACAAATCAATGGTGTCTTTGAAGGCTTGTGGATCCAGCAGCAGAGTAGTGATGTCTTGGAACATTATACCTGCAATCATGCCCGTCAATAATCTCAACCAAACTGCTCTTGAAACAAAGGAATGCTACCAAAGAAAGAAAAGCCGGGCCAAAAGGAGACAGTTTTTGATGCTTGTATTCCATGTCATCACCGCGGGGGCCAAAGCGAAAAAACTTCATCTTTGCCTCTGCATGCTCACGCAACAACATCCTCAATAAAATGGGAATTTCAAGAATTGAACGAGCTCGTAGCTTCAAAATTCCTCCTTTTATCCCGACTCATCTGCGCTCCAGCATTTCGCGACCGGAGGAAAAAGGAGACGGGCAAGAGAGACAAACGATCGTTGGAGAGCTCGAAAAGAGGGAGCGCGAACCTGGTTTGGGGAAATTGGGGACGACCCGAATCCTAGTTTTGATGCCATGGATGCGAGGATCATTGTCCTTGTAAGCTGACATTGTTGCTCTGTCTGCTCAACACAATGCAACAGAGAGAGAGAGAGAGAGAGGGAGGCCAAAGAGATACAAAAGCAAAGGAAGTCTCTTTCTGTTCTCGCTCTCAGACACAGTTCAAAAGCTACGGTCGGGCATGACTTAAATGGAGAGAGAGAGAGGGGGGGCTGAAGTGTATATTGGAGAGAAGAGAAGAGAAGGGGGGGGGGGGGCACTCTGCACAAGAGAGAGCGATAGGGGAAGGAAAAGGGTGAAAAAGGAGAGTGGAACATACAGAGCACATATTGGAATCACGAGGCCCTCTGATTTAGTTTTTATTTACATGTGTGACCCTGGTACTTTTCACTAAGTTAACCAAGAATTTTGTTAACGAGTGGCGCTCGTATATATATCAGATGATAAGAAACTATACAGTTTTTAGCATATTGATTACCATCTGCACAAAGATTTAGAAATAAAGCTTTCTTAACCACATCGAGAAAGAAATTTTTGTTAATCTTAATAGAAAAAATGACACAAATGGTATCCTAACCCTAGTCTAATGTGTAATATTGTTCCTGAACTTTTAATTCGTTTAGTATGGCCCATGAACTTTGGTTGGGAGTGTAATGTCGTCCATAAACTTTCGATTTGTTTAATATGGTTACTGAATTTTGATCGGTGTTCAATGTGGTCCATGAACTTCTAAATATTTTTATATATTTTAGAGACTACATTAAACATTTACCAATAATTTAAGGATCATATTGAACAAATTAAAAGTTTAGGAACATCATTGCATATTGAGGTAATGTTCAGGGATCACGTTGCACAAATTACACATTAGAGCAAAGTTCAAGAACCATTTGTGCTGTTATCCCTTTATTTATTGTGGTCCCTAAGCTAGTGATAAATATTTAATATGGTCATTTCATTTGCTCAAACAACTAATTAAACGTTATTTGATGATGTAGATTATTTTATATTGAGTTGAATTTTTAAAAATGATGAGTCAATGTGTCCATTTTTTTTTTATCTATCTACTTTATAGTAGGAAAAAAAAGGCTTTAATGTGTCCATCATTATTAATGACGTGGATTGTAAAATTCTGATTTGTGATTTGGCCTTCTGGATGAATTTTCAATGCTTTGAACTTTTGCTAACGGTCTGCATAGCAACGTTTCTGTTCCTAGAAACAATTTTTGATCAGAAATAGTTTTTTCTATTTCTATTTCTTGGAACAGTTTCTGAGCAAAAAATAGCGTTTAGTAACCGCACAAAATTTCTATTCCCGGAATAGAAAAAGAATAGAAACGCGTTTAGGGTGCGAATGATCCATTTTTATTCCATAGACGAGTTTCTCCCTTCTGGGCTACCAGCGGAGGACGGCGGGTGGCGGTGGGGGATGGTGGACGGTGGTTGGCGGCGGCAGAGGATGGCGGCCAGCAGTGGGAGGAAGTGGAGCACGGCGGTCAGCGGCGGAGCACGGTGGCGTCAGGCGGCGGTGACGGTAGCGGGGGACGGCGGCTGGAGGTGGCTGGCGGCAGAGGGTGGCCATCGTCGGTCGATGGAGCACGGCGGCTGGTGGCGAAGGATGGTGGTCGATGGTGGGTGACCGCCGGCGTCGGGTGGCCAGAGGCGGGAGGTGGCCGGCGGCAGAGGGCAACCAGCGCCGGGTGGTGGCCGGCGTCGGGCGGTGGAGCACAATGGCCGCGACGGAGGATGGCGGCCGGTGGTGGGTGGTCGGCGGCGGGAGGCGGCGGCCGTGGTGAGTGATCGCCGCATCGGGTGGTTGGCGGGGAGCGGCCCGGCGCCGGGTGGCGGCCGGCGTCGGGCGATGGAGCACGGCGGCCAGCGGTGGAGGATGGCGGCCAGTGGCGGGTGGCGACAAGTGTCAAGCGGCGGAGAACAGTGGTCGACGACAAGAGGTGGCCAGCGGGCGGGAGGCGGAAGGCGAGTGTTGGCCGGCGGGCGACGGCGGCGGAAGGCGGGCGTTAGGTGGCGGCGAAAGACGGCGAGTGGCGGCGGTAGGCGGGTTGCGGCCGATGGATTGTTTCTTGTTTTTGGAGAATTCTAGAAAAAAAATCGTTTCTTTTTTCTTGTTCCAGAAACAAGAAGCATATTTTTTTTGCTTCTTATTTCTATTCCAAATCTATTTATGGAATACTTTTTTGTTCCAGAAACAAAAAAATAGATTTTTTTTACTAAACGGATTTCTGTTCTTTTTCTGTTCCGGGGAACAAAAGAACAGAAAAATAAAAAAATATAAACGTTACTAAATAGACCCTAAACCTAATACTTTTTTCTAACTTTTCACCTAACCTACTGCCACTATATTGTTATTTATTGAAAGAAAAAGTACACATGAGAAGAAGGTGATTTGAATAGTAAAAGGCCTATCTTGCCTCTCAAGGATTTATGAAGTTTTGATAATCTTCCTAATCACACTCTATGATTAATGTGTTTATGCTCTTATCATTTCTAACCTAAATTTTTTATTCCAACACATATTGTAACAAAATATTTTAAATTAAGATAAATGCAGATTACGAATTGTATTTTATTGATTGTGGTCTTTTTAAAATTGTTCGTTGATTTTTTTAACCTCATAGTTCAGTAAATATGATATCATTTTTCATAGCAAATTTTGAATAATATATGGTAGTCTGTGATTTTTAGAATTATGGGTTAAAATTTTTCTTTTTATCTTTCTTTCTAATTCGAAAATATGCAATGGATAATCTTTTTTCCAATAGTGATTTTCTAACCATATAATTAGTAAGGTAAAAGATGATTGATAAAATGGGAATCATGCCAAATATTCATGATCTGAGTTCTCTAATAGTTTTTATAGTCAAATAAAAACTTTAGCCTTAACTATGACAACATCTTTCCCCTCTTTAATCGCGCATATTACTCTCTTCACGTCTCGCACAATAAGAAAGTCATACTGTATCTGTATTACAATATTTTAATATCTTGCTTGACCTAACTATTAACTTTAGCCTTAACTATAACATGCTTGATGATAATCTTCACATGAGATTTGTTCACTTTTCATAATCACCTAGGCTATTTTATGCTATATATTACTCCATTAACATTTGTAGTTTATTTTTGAATATTACATATAAAATGCAATACTATGTTCAATCACAAGTCCTTTTGCACCATAGCACCATCTATATAAGAGATTTTGTGCGTGATGATTTAAATACAATTTTAAGATGGTAAGATTTTTTTCACAACTTGGTTTGTTAAGATTATCGGGAGAAAAATAATTGCAAGTACAGATTTTTGTTGGTGAATTATGTAAATTTTCTTTATCTCAAAATAAAAAGACTAAAAGATATTACAAAATTGGCGGAAACTTTTTTGTTTCATTCGATTATTTATGCTAGTCCCGAGTCTCTACCGATGTCAACACCTACCTCTATTTATATGTATTGAAACAATAGGATGAAACTGAAGCAAATGTTAGATTTTTGAAAAAAATCACGAGAAACATGAAGTTTTTGAGGCGATGAAGCGCAATTTCTTCCAATAAGAGAGATAAGTAGATATTAGATATAAAATTTCACATCCCCTCGTTTTTTCCATATGAAAATTACCTTGTCATTGATTTCATTAATCACTAAAAATTATTTTCTCTTTCCTTCACAGAAAAGTTAAGAGAGGGTCCTTCAAGAACAAGATCCCAATCAATTATATAACTTTACCTGAAAATGAAATGATAATGCCTGATTTGTTTTATTAGAGACAAAAACACTTGGGAAATTTTCGCACGCCAAACAGACAAACAAGCGCTGCGTAGTGGATATCTTCAGCTTTTCAAGGATTGTTCTCTTTGTTCTTTGTGGTTTGTGGTTAGGTTCTAGGGTTAGAGTTGTTGATTACGAGAAGTCTCGGGATTAATCATTGTTAATGAAGATTTACCGTTGAAATATCCTTAAAGTTGACTATGATTTGCGGCTATACTCGGGTCCATGCGTGGACTTGTGGTTTGACAACCTTTTTTTTTCCTTCTTGTTGCTCTGCTTTGTTAGGTAACGAGATGACAACATTGATAGCTAAGTAAATTTTTTTTTCTTGGTTGAAGATACCTAAGTAATTTAAAAGTATAGTATCTTGTTTATTTTTATGGTGACATAAAAAACTCAAAATTTGTACCCATCTATCACATTTATTATCCGTCAAGATTCTGTTAAATGATTTTTCAGCCAAAATAATGTAATTTTCATTTCCCTTAAGTCGTGTAGGCGCTATATGTCAACGATATTTGCCTTGCAGTGTCCATGTAAAGATTTTTAACGGTGCTCGTTGACAAAACCCTGATGGAGGGTATGTTGCAGCGGGCATTATTTGGAATTTTTGGTGTCATAGAAAAAAAAATTAGGGTAAATATGTTACGATGAGCATAGTTTAAAATTGGTAGTGGCTTTTTCCCTTTATTTTATTATTCAATGGAGATAACGATAGTACATGAAATACTGTACTTTGAATCGAATTCCATTCGAAACATGCCTAAATATTTGTTTGTTGCCGTACTTCTTCCTCTTTTCTGTTTTTTTTTCCCTTTGTCCTCCCTTGTGTCGGTATGTCCTGGAGGAGTATCTATTGTCATCTCAAAGTTAAACCATAGGGCAAATCTAAAAATTATTTTCTCATATCAGATCCTCTGCAAATCTGCAGAAACGACAGGGTTTCACCCAGATAAACCCAGAACCGATCAAACGGAGAAGATCTTCTCCATCTTAACGGCAAAAAGAGAAGCAAGCGGGAGCGTCGCTGCGTTGGGATGGAAAACGACACCGACGAACTCATTTAATTCGGCGATCGCCGTGGGGTTAAGAAGAGAAGAAAAAGAGAGATGTTTGGGTTATATAATGCGAAAGGGATGAGAGTTGCCCACAGAATATTGCTGTTGAGATTCGAAAGCAGCCTCTGATTAAAATTGCGATGGCGATATACGACATTGGCCCCTCGAATTATTTGCCAGACAGTTAAGTGGTGTGATTGGATTATTCACTAAACTTTTGCTTTTACAAATTTCTTTTATTCCTTCTTTTTTTTTTTGGAGGCCAGGCGCGATTTTCTTTCTTGCTTTATAGAAAATATTTTTGTGGTGAGGTGATGTTTGTTCACGCAGGAGATGCCAAGCTTCAGTAGGGCATGGGAGGCTGCCCTGCCTTCATGTTCATG